ATGATAGAGGAAAGAAAGAAGATAAAATATCTTTAGTTCATCTGGCTTTTTGGCTATACATGTTGATGGCTCCGGTCACCGAATATTCGCGTAGTTTCTCCTAAGAAACAGCGGCTTTCCCCGCTGTACAGCCCCAGTGGGTAGATGTTGTAGCAGGACTGGCTGATTTCCCATGGAAAGCCACTGCAGGACTCCACCTGGCAGGTTCTGGGTGTGTTTTCTTCTTGTCACTTGAGGTAATTCCCAAAAATCAGTATCTGGAACTTGGCTTTCAGCCTTCAATATAGACAGGCAGGATCCTCCAGTGGTTCTCCGTTGTTCTGCCCGCTCGCCCTACCCCGTCCTGCCTTCCCCACCTGTGGCTCTGCCACCACAGAAACTTTCATTTGCTTTGTCTTCATTGTTCTCATGTGCCCAGCACATTCTGTGTACACTTTTTCCTTCCATATATTCCCCATCATGTATGTTTAGTTATACAATGTGCAAGTCTGTCATCTTGGTGAGTCAAATTAATGCTTTTCTTGCGCTGGTTTGTTTGGACAAAGGGGTGTTTCTCTTTAACGCTCCCATGAATAGCCTTAAGCGCTTGCAGATTTTAATTTCAGGAGTGGTTCAGTGAAATGAACTGTCTTTCAGATAAGCATTCAGCATTTTTAAATACATTCTTTTTTTGTCTTTCTTGTAACAGCCGTTTAGTCACTGATGCTCGGAGAACTGTCTTCTGCTCGTGGTTATCTTCTGAAGTTCCATCTCATCTGGTTTTACTTCACAGTAAAACTGATCCCAAAGGGCAATGGGGAATAAAGTATAACACGTCCCTCAGACAAATTAAGTGTAAAGCTGATTCTTGGGGTTAAATCATTAAATCTTCCCTTCAGAAACAACAACAATAAATTAAAGGAAAAAACAAAAAAAAGGCCCAGAAAGGCCAATGCTGACTTTTCCAGCAAAATATCCCATAGAAAAAGCCAAAATTCTTTTTGGTCCTCTGTATTTTTTCCGTGTATAATCTGCAGGAAAAGGGGGGATTGCTGTCCTAAATGCAGTCAGAAATGCCCCTTTTCGATCATCCTGCATCTGAAAACGCCTGCTGTTAGGTGCTTCAGGAGTAACTTCAAGAAATGCTTTGGGGGAATAATTACTGGAGAGAGTTATCCTAAATGTCTTCTTAACCTTACCTGTAATTTTTTCTTAGTCTTGTAGCTCTGCATATTATTCAAGAGAAGGTTTTATCTCATAAACTATCTCATCTATATAAATTTTTACCATTTTTTTAATCACTTTACATCTGTAATATGCATGATACCAAAGAAATTGATAGCTGAAGCATACGTTCTGTGGATAAATGCGATTTTTTTTTTTTTTTTTTTTAAGTATCAACTTTCCATTGAACGAATGTCCCCCCCGTTGTTGCATTGTCAACATGGGAAAGCAGAGATCGGTGACTTTTCCCCTTTAAGGAGCAAAGGAGAGTTGTCTCCTCGACTCATGCCCAAACCCCCTGTGATGTGCATGGTTTGCATTGACACCAGCCTTTGGTCACTGCTGTGGACTTCAGAGTGTAACCCCGTTTCTGATGAAGGCTTTTTGACCGACGCGGGATAAGCTACTGTCTGTTCACACCTTGGTTCCTTGAAAAAGGAAGATGGCACTTTTGCCTTCATTGCAAAAGTGTCGCATTTAGCTATGTTCAGAAGATGCTACGATTTATGTAGGGTTTAATAGGAAAGCTGACAGCTACCTCAGATTTTATTAATGGATAACTTATTACGTTACTTTTTAATTATTAGTGGTATGACTATACTTCTTTTCTTCATGTGTTTTTTCTTAGTGCGATGAAAGATTCTCTGCAAAATATTTTCTTCTGCTTTTTCTGTCACCGCTATGAATTTTCTTTTGTTGCTTCTGGTAAACTTGAGTCACCGTCATACTTTGTATGGTTTCTCTGGAGGAAGAGATGACTAAAATAACAAACTGCGTTACAAAACGGAGAACTGCAACATCTAATGTTTAAAATTTGTCTAAGGTGTAGCTCTGAACCAGAGAATATTATAATTTTGCCATAATCTCTGTGGAGGAGGTGGTTCCTGTAGAGTGTCAGCAGTATTAACAAAACACAGAAGTAGGTACAAAGAGACATTTCATAGGATTACATCTGCTTTTTACCTAAAGAAACCTGGATTCTAGATTTGTTTTTAAGGTCTGTTCCAGTAAGAACAGCATTGTTCCAATGTGGTGTAAAGCTCGGTGGCACGGTCATTTACTTTTAGATGTGGCTCACATATTTCTAGGAGGACCAGGCAGTCATGCGTAGTAATTCTTCACATTCCTGACATCTTTTTCATAATCCACTTTTAGGATGATGATAACTCTGATGAATAGGGAGGAAATAAATATTTTTTAAAGATGCCTGGAATTCATGTTTAGATTCTTCTTGTAGAATCTATAGCATCAGTATTTTTTGCAGTTATCATCCAGATTATATAAATTAAACCAATTTCAGAAATTCCTCAGTGAAGCTCTCTGTAGGTAAATGAATCGTGTGCTCATCACAAGTAACTTCTAATAATTTCCTGGAGTTTTCTAGGCTGTGTAAAATGTAAAATAAAAGCCAGTATTCAATTTCTCCTAACTCTGATTAGTATGTATTATTGGAGTGAGTTTTTAACAATTTTTATAAATCTTAAAATTTTTACTTTTTGAGGGTTGGTTTTAGTTTGGATGGGTTTGGGGTATTTTTTTGTAATCTAAAGTAACTATATGGTAATTGCTAGCAATCTTTGATGAAGGAAAGAGCCTGTCGCTGCAATAGTTGCATCTGATCTTTGTGTTTCCTCTCGGGTATTATTGGACTTGTGTGACCTTTGAAATTCAGTTAGTGTGTGAAGTGAGTGCATGACCTATGAAGTTGCAAAATGTGGAAGCTAAATAGGCTCTCTGCAAAACAATTCCTAATATTTTTTTAAATGCTTGTCCTCTGACAGAATGCCTGAAGTCATCTTCCGTTAGTAAGCTGATTTGGGAAGATAAGTTTTGCTTCTTACCATTCTAAGAAAAATTTACGGTACGCTTATGGAAAGTCTCAGTATAGGTAGTACAAAACCTTTTCTTTTACTGTTACATTCCATCTATGAGAAGAGTTGGGAAGACCTCTGTGTATTCAAGAAGCTTTCCTCATTTTTGGATAACGTAAAAATCGGAGTCGTTTAATTATTTATTTCAACACCCCCTCTTCTCAGAAAGGGAATGTTAATGCAGGGTAGCTTCTGCTGTCAGGTTTGAGTTAATTTTTGAAGGCATTCCATGAGCATAGCACATAAAGCTTGTCAAGGTCCAGAGAAGCCAGAAGGGGAATGGGTTATTCGGTGATTATTGTCCTTTTTACATTTTGCATGATGTACTTCTACTCATGTTTTAGCTTTGCTGAACAAAGCAATGGTTTCTCTATCTTCTGTGAATGAAATTTAGGACACACTGATTGTAGAATAATCTTGTTTCTATAAGGAAGAAGAGTTTCCTCTAAAAAGATCTTGTTACTTTCCAACTGGAGGTTGTATACCTTTTCCTGCAATTTGCCCTTTCTTCTTGTGGTCGCATGCTACTTTAGAGCCTTTTAACCACTAATATGTTAGAGTTTTGTTTGAGGAACATCTTGGCATGTTTGCATGACATAATAGTTATAAAGTATGCTCCTCCCATTTAGAATTGAGTTTTTGCCAAATAGTGACATTTTTGGGAGAAAACTGATCAATTTGCAAAATGATGCCTTTATGTGGAAGAAACCTTGCAGGTGAATGGGAAGATTAACACAATTCTTCACAAAGCAGTAGGTAGGAGATCTTAATTTCTATAAAATACAGGGGACACATTACCCCAGTGCAAGTGCTGTGTTACTGGTAACTACAGGTGATCGTGCTGGAGCCCACCAGCAGTCTCACAGCTAATTCTTATTGATTTTTGTAGGGACCAGTGCAGCCTCTGCAGGGCTCTGGGAGGATTATAAGATGTAAGAGGAGTAAGCGCAGGGGAGCAGACGCTGTCTCTGGCTCCAGAGGCAGAGTATGAAGCTATTGATCGTACACTTTGCTTTATCAGACATCGCCCCAGTGCAGTTATTCCAGCTTACGGGGATATCCGCTCCTTGATCCTCCACCATATGGATGATGCCTCGCTTTGTCAGTAAACCCTTGGTTTTTTGTGTTGTGATCATTAATAAGATACTTTGCAAAGTTTGCTGGCTTGAAGTTGGCATACTAACCACACGTTTGTTGTCTGCCTGCGTCTGTGCACCTCAGACACTTCAGAGTAGGACTTGCTGCTTTCCCATCTCTGTGTAATATTCAGCACAGCATGAATTGAGGCTTCTGGACGATGTTTAATAGTTATGACCCTGGATGGATCCTACTGAGGGTGTTTTTACCAAAGAAGGACCTGGGAGCAGGCCTTCTCTCCCAGGACAAGCCACTAACTGCTGCCAGTCTGAGCGGAGAGCAAATGAAAATCCAGCCTCATCCTTTAAACCTCAGTCTGTCCTTCTCTCATACAACCATCCAAACTGCAGGAGTGAGATCCCTGCAAGATCCTCCCCAGCACCAGCCCACACGTACCCCTCCAGCAACCCCCTCCCGCCGGCTGCCTTCTCCCCACGTGGCTGGTGCAGGAGGAGGCTGCACCGTTCCCGCCGTCTGCGCCAGCTACGGCCCTGATGAAGATGGCAGGGCAGAGAGCCTTGCGGCCAGATCCAGCCCTCGGGCCGGGGCTTGGACATGCCCATCCGTAACACAGCAGCTGAAACATAGCTTTAGGTAAGTCGTAACTTTTAAAGCCAAGGTCGCGCTTGAGGCGTTTCTGAAGTCATTTCTCCTAGTGGTGGTTAGATGAGAAAGGCAGTCAAATATTTTTAAGTCACTGGGGTGATTTTTAAGTGCTGGTGAACATAAAGACATATATCTGTCCACTGTTTGCTCATATTGTTCATTTTCTTTTCTTTTCTTTTTTAGGATGAACGTGAAGCCAGAGAAAATGTGAAAAGAGAGCAGGATGAGGCGTACCGCATATCACTGGAGGCTGACAGAGCAAAGGTGTGTGCGGGGTTAAGTGATCGTGTGAATGTCGGGATGGGAATCTCTCCACAGCTGGAGAAATCTCCCTGGTGCAGGGAACTGCCCACCTCCAGTTCTGCTTTTCAGATGAGACGGTTGCTGTAGGAGCCGTAATTGCCCTTAGTGGTTAGAAAATGGCACTAGATACCGTCACCAAGAGTAGACTTGCCTCTTTTTGCTAAAGCAGTCCTGGCCCCGCTTAATAGTGGTTGGGAAAGGAATGATAGAAGATCACCTAATAAATACCCTATTTCTTATATTAATTTCTACAGAAAAATTGAGGCGTTTGTTTGCTTTCATATAGCTAATGCACATCATTAAACACAGCTGTGGAAAGCGAGGCGATACATGTGTGATTACTGTTTGTGTTTATTAGAGGGAAGCGCAAGAGAGGGAAATGGCAGAGCAGTTTCGCTTGGAACAAATTCGGAAAGAACAGGAGGAAGAACGTGAGGTGGGACGTTTTACCTTTTCTGACAACTTTTTGGATTCATGAAGCTTATGGATATTGCAACTTTTGTTCACCACACGTTGCAAGTTTAATTCAAAGTATACTTTTTATGTGAACAACAAATTATTTTTTAATTAATTTCTTACCATGTGTATATATAAAAATATAGTGGAGCTAAATAATTGTCTTCTACTGCTTAATAGCTTTTCTGTTCCATCATCTGGGTCACAGTTACATCAGATGGGTCTAATTTTGCAGCCAGATATCAAATAGGCCTGCTAACAGGAGGTCCATGAAATGAGCTCTGTAAATGGTGGAATCTTTGGGAACCTCTAGCCTTGTTTCTGCAGGCACTCCTTTTAAAAATATAATACCATGGAGCCCTTTAATTTCTTCCAGGAAGTAGCACAAAGCTTAGCTTCAATTCTGATCAAACTGCCAAATTTAATTTGGGGGACAAAACACTTTTTAAAAAAATCTTCAGAAAAGAAATTCCAAAATCCAGAAAATTGGGTTTATGGTACATTTTTAAATTTCTAAGCAGTCTTCTATAGAATCTTCCTTAGAATGAAAATTGTATTTAAAGAAACACTTTATATGTCTCTAGGCCCATATAAGAAAATAGAAACCATGTGCTGTGAAGAGCAGTGTTTCTCAAACTCTGTTATTTTGTAGATTCTTTCAATTTTGTAGATTGTGTGGGCACCAGTACCTGTCAGAGATGGCTCCTGTAGCCTCCTTCGGGGTCTAGAGTAGCTCCTGGCCTAGCTGTGTGGCTGTGTAGGCATTTGCATAAAGCAGCATGTGCACGAATTTACTTACTTTAGTGCCTTCCTCTTTTTCACTTCCTGGCAAATACAGAACATGGCAAAAAGGCTGGGATACAGCCATGTCTCTTCCCCTGAAGTCCCACACATTTCAAAGGATAGGCGAAATAGAATAGTCATTAAAATATTTCCATCTGTTCTCTGAAGTTCTTGAAATATAAGTCCTAACAGAACTGCTGTGAAACACCGCTGATACTTGAAAAGGACTTTGAAACTCTTGAATAAGATTTTCAAAATAAAAGTGATATTCACATATAAATGGATTGATTGAAATCAGAGTTGATCGGGGGTTGTCCTTTGACTTCTAGGCATATAAGATTCTGTGAGCAAGTTGCTAATGAATACAAAGCTGTATCGGTATCCCTGTTGAACACATATAAATGTATACTTGACATTTCAGTCTTGTGTACTTTGCTGACTTATGAAAAAATTGCATTATACAACTGCAAAAAAGTTGGCTATGAACACATTTATTATTCCCCAAGATAAACCCGATAAACAAACTGTATGAGCAATGCATTTGCATTTATGTATTTTGACCAAGGTAATTGCATTAAAAAACTTGAACCATTTAAGCATCCAAGAACCTTTTAAACGGTACTGCATTGTAATACTAGATTCAGTTCAAACAGAAGTATTCGATGGTTTGGGAAAGATGCAGTCCACTTCTTTATTATCCTACAGTATCTGATGACTTTTTTAGCTCCTGTTGTTAACATAAACCAAGAACAAGCTAAATCACAACTGCAGGAGCAGCGCACAAAACTGGACTCAGAACTGTGTCAAGAATAATCGTAAAATGGCAATTCTGTGAGGTTAATAGGAATCAAACATAAATCAGTACTGCAGCAGTTGAGCAATCAGCTCACACTCCAATTCAAGAAAGTAGTATGTTTTTCTTTTTGAAGTAATTTTGCACACATAAAAACATTAATTAATTGTGCTTTATTATATCTGCTCCTGAACCCTTGCTGATACTTTGGCCTTTTCGAAATCGTTTTCTTAGGCAAAGGCTGCAAGACTGGTCCATGTTATCAAAATATACCTGGGCTTCCCTGTTTAATTTAGAGTGCAGCAATGAAAATAATAGGATCTGTTTGCTTAGTAGAACAAAAGGGATTTTAACAATAATGTTTACTAACACTCCCCATTTTCAAGTATACAGATTACTTATGCTGAATTGTTCTGCAACAGTGTTTACTTACAGAAGTGGCTTTATGTTCAGTTTGTACATTTAAAATCTGACTATTGAGCTATTCGCATACTGAACATCTTTTTATCAACAAACTGAAATTGCTTGTTCAGGTCCAAGAGTTATTAATGTGATCCGTCTCATCATTGTTTTCTGCCTTGGTTCACTGGTAGAGAATATCCACTGTAAATTGCCATTTTATGTTGAAGCCTTGGAGACTACTCACTTTGGGGAGCGACGCACTCTTTGCACAAAGAAAAGAGCTCTAATGAGCTACTGTTGTTTATTTTTCTATAATATAATTGATTGGGCTCAGTAAATAATGTAGCATCTGTTGTTATACTGTGTGGGGAAATGTCAAAACAGAAAGATAGTAAGCAGGTGGCTGAGAACGGAGAGAGAGAAAATTAAAATAGAATCTATTTAAAAATATAATCTCATAGTAGATGAGCAAAAATGAACTCAAGTTCTATGTATAAATATTTATACTGAGCTATAATTTGCTCAGAGGTTCATGTGTAAGAAGCAGACTATTTAAAAGCCGTCATAATCTTGCTTCTGCCCATTCCTTTCTCTTTAATGTAATCATCCTCCATTGGTTTCTGTTACTAAATGACCTTTGGAGGTTTAACAGCAACTGTGTATCTTGAAAGTTCCTTGAAAAATCTAGGTAAATCCGTGCCTGCCTGCCTCTCCAGTTTGAAAAGTTGTCTTTTAGGTGTATCATGCTGCTGCTTCTATTCACGGACATTCTCATGAACTGCTGCCACACGTGAGGTGATCCTGTAACAAGGCTGCTTTCTATGTACGATCTCATTTTTAGAAGATGCCACTGCCTGCTCATGAGTACTGCCAGCACTCAGTACCCTTGCAAATCAAGCCCACCTCGTTCAGCAGTCTAATATTAGGCATCAATTAAAAAAAAAAAAAAACAAAACTTCTGATCAAAGTATTAGTGTTGTAGTAGCTCCTGGAGGCAGAGAACAGAGACTTGGTTCCTGCCCTTAAAATCTTGACATCAGCAGTACACACAACGTTAGCAGGAAGACAAACATACGCATTTTCAGACATGTAATATCATTGCAATTTTCGGGTTGATTTCATGCAAGTTGTTGCAGAAAATATGCACACCTGTGCTTGGAACCATCTTCCTGCAAATAGTAGTAATAACAATTGCTTGCTTTAAATCTTAAAGCTCCCACTTCTGTCCTCCCACTTTTCTTCTTTGACCATTCCTACTTTTAGATGTACTCTATGTATCTAATGTACCTTCATGATATTTCTAATTATGTCTTTTAAGAGTGTTTTAGTTTATTTATAGTAATGTGTCTTTTTACTGTGAACTGCCACTAAGAGTCTTGTCTTTGCTGCAAATGGTCAATTACTGTGTGCAAAAGCGAGGCAATTTGATAAGTGCATTTGAAGAAACACTTTTACTGCCTTTTAATTTATACCCTTCAAGGAAGCAACTGGCCACTTGACAATTATTGTCTCATTCAAATTTTTTCCAAGGCTTTCTGCCAAATGATTAAATTACTTATCCCCATCATGCATTAACTGTAGACCTAATAATATGTGTTATAAAGAAGGATTTATTTTAATTAGTTGTCTGGTGGGCTGTTATTAGGGAACGAATAAAAATGATTTTGTCACTGAGATATAAAGCACAGCTATGGCTCTGGAGAACTGTGGCACATCTTGGGAGTTCTGGAAGCAATAAAAAGAAAAGCATTCTGTCCTTTTCTTCTGTTGCTAGCATTGCAACCTAAATGGTTATTTTTCCTTCCTCAGGCTATCAGGCTCTCTCTTGAGCAATCTTTGCCTCCTGAACCGAAAGAGGAGAGCACCGAGTCTGTCAGTAAACTGCGTATTCGGACACCCAGTGGAGAATTCTTTGAGCGACGTTTCCTGGCCAGCAGCAAGCTGCAGGTTGTCTTTGATTTTGTAGCTTCCAAGGGATATCCTTGGGAGGAGTACAAGCTGCTGGGCACCTTTCCGAGGAGAGATGTGAGTAAATGTACCTTTCATGAATAAATACCACTGCTTCTCACTGCTGTATGTTACATGACCAATGCTATAGCATAGAAGGTAAAAGATCTGCCTGAATACCTTAGAGTGCTGCCAAGCTCTGTGACTGTAAGCAAGCCAGGCGCTAACCTGACAATGCTGTCATATGTTACATACAGAATTGCGTTGCAAAATCTGTTTCCAGTGACATTGTAAAAAAACCTCCGTTTCCAAAACAAACAAGTTGTGGACCATTTTCAATGAAAACTGACCAAATATCCTGAGCTAGCATCGCTCACATCCTGTTTTGAAGGAAGCCGCATCAATATTGGTACACTGTTTAGGTCTGTTATGGGTAATACTTCTGATCTTTCTGGTTTTGCCATTTTGATGCCATTTTATGTCATGAGCAAGGAAGGCTCAGTGTCAGATAGCATACAGTTATGAGCTAATCAGTACATTCTAATAAATTATTCATCTACCTGTTATATAATACCAGTAGATAATCATTTATATCTCCTACCTCAAAATTCTAATGATGTACCTGCTGTGACCAATTTTCAAAAGCATCAATACTGCTTACAAAAGCCAATAAAATTCTGTTGCTTTATCAGCAGATACTTATGTGCTGGTTACTAAGTTTCTTTGAAAACAGACCTATACATTTTCTGCTCCATTACAAATTAACCTTCATTTCTTATTTAGCTGTTGTTAGAGCAGAGGTAAAAGTCAGTGGGTCCAACTGTGCAGTAATTACCTGGGGCCCTGCATAAAAGGCGAAGGTAACAGGCACTACAGAGCCAAGCAGTGATGGGTGAAGTTCAGCAGCTTTTTGGCCGTGCTGCCTCAGGACTGCAAACGAGTGGGGGCAGCTCTGGATCAGGCAGGGTTTTGTTTGCTGGGGGCATCTCCAGGTGGCTGGTTAAGCCCTTTTTCATCAAAGGAGCTCAGTAACTTGGGTTGCTTTTCCATTTTGTTTCCTGTCACTGCCCCTGGAGGAAGTTCACTAGGAATAAGGCTCTGATTAGGGTGTTTACAGTACTGTTTTGTAACAGATACCTCTTGCTTTATCATTGTACTTGTAAGTACTCCAGAGGGTTACAAGTACTCCAACGGGGACAAAAATAATGTCCTTAGCAAGCATAGGACCTTGAGAGTGGATGTGATTTCTAACCAGTTTTTGGCATAACTCTGTGAACAGGATTGTAGTGCTTACAGCTTTTAGTCCACCTTGTCTTATATTGAGAATCCTAATCAGTCAGACTGGAAAGCAGTATTTAAGGAATCTCATTAATCACTAATTAACTTTACTCCTTAAGCATGTAATATCATTTCCAACAGAACCAAAGACTAGAAGTCATCTATGTTTCCAGATTACTGATCATTCAGTTTACTTGATAGAAGAAAAACAATCTTTTGTGCAGTCTAAACAATGCTTTTGTGTATTTTCAATATTCTGCAAGTCATACCTCCCTACCTGTAACATATTTGTGTCTTAGTACATATTTAATATAATTTAATATAATTTTTACATTCGTTTTGTACTTTAGACTGTCTGTTTCTGACTTAATTGCATCATGATCATTATTAATTTCAGTTCTCTGTAACAAACTTAAAAATTGATCAGACAACTCACATAAGAACAAATTAAAAAAGGAGTAGAAAGTAAAAAAGACCACTAAATTAGAACAGGCTGGTATTTTCAGTACATCTGTGAAACTGCCAGGGAGAAAACGCTGCGGCAAAGAAAGGAGAATTTAATGGCAGGATACAGAGCAGTTCATCTGTTGTGTGGGAAGCAAAGACCTTGTCATCTTTTTTCTATGATTTCAACCTAATAATGCCATCTATGAGGAGTCACATAAATGATTCATGCTGATTGACTCAGTGGCCGTGTATGAATCCAGTTGCCATTGTGACCACCAGAGCTACAACAGACAAAAAATAATTCCCAGGGGTTTGCTAACCATTGAGAACTATAAATGACATCTGCCATGTTCCCCAGGTTTGGAAAGTTGGAAGTGTGCAACTCCATAAACAGATTTAAAAAAAAAAAAAAAAGTAATTTATGAATGCCTTGGAAGTACAGTAAAAGTATATATTCATTGTCTTAGACTTTGTGGTATATAGTCTTTTAAAAATACACTAAAAGATGGCAAGATCCTTCTGCTATATGATATACATGTAAGTCACAAACATCCACTGAAACCTGTGCAACAAGAACAGAGCATTTGGGATGCCTGTGCTCCAGAAAACAATAGCATTTAAAATGTTTGTTTGTATTTAAACTACACATAGCATTTTTGAAAAAAATATGTTTGGAAGTATCAGAATTACTTTGCTGGTGTTTTTGCTGCAATAAGATGAAAACATGTCTTCTCAAGTTAGTATTTTTCCTTCTATCCTAATCTGTATTACAATAACATACACACCCTGAAAAGTGTTTCTGTCTTATCAAAACGAGGGGATTATCTTCAACCAAATCAGCATTTTCTTGTAATAAACTTGTTAGAGTGTTTTTACCTGCTCGTCAAAGCCATCGGTCCTGATACAGTGTTGCTGAAGTATTTTTACTTCTTTGGCAAATAAAAATTCATTAGTTCTTAGTTCTATGTTCCAGTTGCTTACACAGATATCCTTAGCTAACTTAAAGTTGGTATCATAACCCTACTGTAAATACAAACTTTTACACATGAGTAAATACACAGACTAACCTTTTCCAGGCACTACTTGTAGATTTTAAAGCAGCAGTGACATTCCAAAGCAGTTAAGCACATGCAGTGACTTGTTACTGGGTCTTTGTCACCGACCGTGTTGTTCTTTCTACTAGCACTGAAATTAGATATTAACCACCTCCTCTCTTACCAAGGCAGTACCTTACCCAAGGCAGCACTACATACCGTACCGACAAGTGTGTATCACACGGGTGAACCTGGGTCAGCAGGTAGCTCGTACCTCTAACTTTGAAAACGTTTGGCAAGCACATCTTTCAGAGTGAAAAGCTGTATTGTAAGTTCTTTGCATTATTCTTAAATGCACCTGCAAAGGCTTTATGGCAGCAAATGTGCACGCTATTTAAATATATGTGCTGATTTTAGAATTATAGTTCCTTTTCTTCCAAGAATTGCTCTAAACTTCAAAATGCATTTAACTATAACAAAAAGAGCTTACCCTAAGCATATTAGCATGCTCAGTCAACCTTCTCATTCAGTATTTCTCCTAAATCACTTTCTCTTAAAAGCCTTCCCAAACACTAATTCCGGTAGTCCTTTCAGGCTGCCAGCTGCAAGATCCACCTTCTCCCAGTACCCTGGAGACTTCCCAGGTGATCAGTTCCTCACTTCCTTCTGTGGTGGAGGTCTGCAGAAGCCTTCCTAAAACTCTTTAATATCTTATGGACTGGGCATTTCACCACACTTCAGGCAAGAAGCTGAAGATGTACCACGTCTAGCTGAAACTATAGGAGGAATGTCCAGAATAAATTTACCCAAACTGGGCTTCAGCCACCCTACTAAGGTCATCGATATGTTTGTGAACGTTTTATGGTATCTGACAGAAAGGGAGGTCCTGGCATGCACTCTCTTTTGAAAGACTGTTTTTGAAAGACTGAATTTATTAATTTCTTCTGAAGAATCAAAATTGCAATCTACAATTTCTTTTGCTCATTTCTCCTTAAGGTGGAGCATTAGCTATGTATTTGGGAGTATGCCTTTTGCAGACTCGGTATTAGAGACTTAAGCTCTTTATTTACTGTATCTGGAAGCCCTGGTAAGCCAAGACTTCTACAGTATTTCACATTTTATTTTTCTGAGCCACAGCATAGGATCAGGTGGCAGTTAAGTCACTTAAGGTTATTTAAATGCATCTAAAATGTTGCTTAATAATTCAGAACCAGTTTGCTCTGTTTAGAGTATTAAGATTTTTTAAATCCTTTTAATTAACCAATTTCAACAGCAGTTTAAATAAACAGAAATTTAAAAATCTGCCTCCCTTGAAAGGACAGAAAATAAATTTAACTCAGATTGCATGTCAATTTAAATTAGATATGATCAGGATTTCAGTAAATTTAGGGCCAGAAAATTTTTACTACTACATGGGAGCATAGAGTAAGATATTCCTCCAAACCCAAATGTGATCATTCATTCCTGTGCTCTGGCAGGAGTAACCCTCTTTGATACCCACAGGGGTGAAAATAACACCACCAGCTAATAAGTTTAGCTGCAGCACTCAGCACACGTAGTCATCTGAGCAGGTAAGTATCCTCTGATGTTCTCAGAAAGGTAATGTTAGGGCATGATCTCTATATTGCTATGCCAGGTAGTTTGGCAATTTTTGTGTATCTGTTCTAGAAGCCATTCTTTGTAAGGATTATTCTGCATTTCACTTGCTGCAAAGTACTTCCTTCAAATAACCTCCTTTTAAGCTCATTAGGTGGTGTTTAAACTCTTTAAAATAGATCATGAAAGAGTTATATGTCCAGGACCACCTCTGGTTTTTAACATTCTTTCCCCTAATCATCACCTTGATAGAAAGGTGGAAGAGAGATGTTATTGTGAGAAAGGATTCATGCAGTTACATGGTTAAACCAAAAAGCACTTTCAGTAACTTCACATAAATCAGGAAAGTAGCTTGAATATCTGTCTTACAGCAAAGGAGAATTTCAGATGAATGAAGTATTTTTCTGATATGTTAAAAAAATCTGAGAACATTTTTGTAAGCTCAGGGAAAACTTAACGTGATCCATGTAATTTTTTGTCACTTCAGTTACTGATATTTATATTTCCTACTACATAAAATAGTACTCATCTGTTTTAATTCACATAATTTAAAAATTTTCAGGTCAATATGCACAAGGCCACAGCCACCTGCAAAGGTAGACATTCCTCGTCTTGTCATTTACAACTGTCCTTAAGTCAATACTACCTGCCCTTGTCTTTCCTCTCTTTTCAGGATACGTTGTTATTTTATTTATTCAAACAGTTATGTTTAGTTTAGTTAGG